GGGCCAGGGTGGGGACAGAGGGGGGACAGGGTGGGGACAGGGGGGGGACAGTGGGGACAGCGTGGGGACAGAGAGGGGACAGCGGGGACAGCGTGGGGACGCCCCAGGGATGGGGAGACAGTGTGGGGACATCACAGGAATGGCGGGGGGACACCTCGGGAGTGGGGGCCTCTCTTTTTGGGGGATGGAGGGGACATCCCAGGAATGGGGACACCAAGAATGGGGACACCCAGGGAATGGGGGGACACTGAAACCGGGCAGGACAGAGCAGGAGGACACTGGGAATGGGGACACCCCAACATGGGGACACCCCAACATGGGGCCCTGCCAGAGCAGGGGCACCCCAGGACCGGGGGGATCCCGGGAACGGGGACACCCCGAAGGAGGAGGACCCCAAACCCCGGGTGCCCCCATGAGCAGGGCCCCCCCAAACCCAAACCCCCCCACTCACCAGGGTCACGTTCCTCCTCCTCCTCCCAGTGGGCACCCACCACGAGCGGGCGGGGGGCTCTGAGGGGGGGTCCCCCCGGCCCGGCCGCTCCTGGGGGGGAACAGGTGGGTATGGGGTGGGGGGGACAGGGACCCCCGGGCACCCCTGGACATCTTGGGCCACCCCTGGACACCACCCCAAACACCCCTGGGCACCCCCAGGACACCTCTGGCCCCCCCTGGGCACCCCTGTCCCCCCACTCCAAACACCCCTGGCCAGCCCTGGACACTCCTGGACCCCTCTGGACCCCCCCCAGCCCCCCCAAATCTCACCAGGGCGAGGCGCAGGGGGTTGGCGGGGGGGCTGCAGGGCACGGGGGGGGTCCCCATCTCCAGGCTCAGGGGGTACAGGAGCCACTTCCCGTTGGGCAGCTCCAGCGGCCACTGCACCGTCAGCGCGGCCGAGCCGGGGGTCTTCAGCACCGGCCCCCGCTGCGACACCTGGGGGCACAGCAGGGACCCCAGAAATAGCCCCGACCCCAAAAATAACCCTGTCCCCAGAAATAGCCCCGACCCCAAAAACAACCCTGTCCCCAGAAATAGCCCCGACCCCAAAACCAGCACCTGACCCCAGAAATAGCCCTGACCCCAAAAACAACCCTGACCCCAAAAATAACCCACACCCCCA